TCCTTTGAGGGTTTAGGCCTAAACTCAAGGCAACACGTTCGGGGTTGGGTCCGAGAGTCAAAGGAATGGTATGGGGGTCGAGGATCCCAGGCGGTTTCAGGGCGTCCTGTCAACGGAGGGTCAGGGCGGGTTCCAGAAAAGTTTTAGGGGGGTTTCAGGGAGGTCCCAGTAGGTTTTCCGGGGGATCCCAAGCCCCAAAATGCCAGCGCCATGCAGGAAGGGGGGGGTTTGGGTACCGGGCCCATCGTGGGTGCGACCGACCCTCGAGCCGCGGGAGGCGGGCGAGCGACCTGGGTCGGCTTGCACCATCGACCCCCAACATAGGGGGGCGGCCTAGGCCCTGAAGTCCCTTTTTTTTTGGGTGGGGGGGAGCTATGTGATGACTTCTCTACATGATGGCACCCTTATCGGGTACCCTCAAAATCTGAGGGGCCGCCTTAAAATCGTAACCCCAAAAAGGACCCTTATTTCGAGAATCCCCCAGGTCTTGTTTGTATCTATATACAAAACCGAACGGGGATGCTATAAAGATGATCCTCAGCCAGGTTCCAAGGAGAGTATGCTTGGAGCCCTTTTTTCACTTAGTAAGGTGGGCTATGGGGAGTGTAAGAGGGCTTGTAGGGGATACCAAGTAGATATGCTAAGCCACAAGAGCTTCCAAGTAGCCCACACAGAGCTGAGGGAGATAAGCAACGGGGCTTGGGGAGGTCTTGGAGGCCTTTCGGGAGGGGGGTCCGTTCTGGGGTTTCAAAGGGGTTAAGGGCTAGGCGTTTACGGGTTTATGGGTTCAGGGCTTTAAGGTTTTAGGGCTTTGTTCAGGCATTTCTGAGAGGTTCCTGAAGGTTCTTTATCGGGTCCTCCAAGTTACCCCAAAAGAACAGTACTTCCAAGATAAGTAATTAAGGTACAAAATAAAAGTATTCTGCTTTGGGTCCGACATTCATTTCTATGAACCCCATAAAGCCCTATCCGCCGTGCGGGCTTGCAAGCCCCACAACCCTACAACCCTTAATCCTATCTAAACCCACCCTTCAAGTACCTTGCTTTCCCTAAGCGACCCCAAACCCTCAACCCTCAACCCTAAACCCTAAACCCTAAACCCTTGCTTTAGCTCCTCAGGCTGGGTACCGGCCACGGTGGCTGCTTTAGCCGTGGAGGCGGCGCCGCCACGGGCGCAGGACACGGAGCGACCCGGAGACAACAGAGGGCATGAAATGCAATTTCTACTACTTGCTTAAGAACCCCGCCCCAAAAAAAAAACAAACATTAGAAAAACATTAAGAAGAAGAGAATTTCTTCCTCATCAGGTTCTTCCTCATCAATCAGGGCGATATGGGGATTAACATTGTTTTTGTTTTTCTTTGTTGTTCTTTTTGTTTTTTTGGGGGGGGGGGGCTCTTAAGCAAATAGTAGTTTTGGGAATGATTTTAAGCCCCCTGAACCCTAAATCTAAGGCTGAAGGCGTGGGGGTTTTAGAGTTCAGCATGTGGGGTCCTGTGTCTTTAATCTAGGAGCATGGCACGTGGGGTTCGGGCGTTTAAGTGTAGGTTTAGAGTCGATGGTTCTGGCAGAGCTGTGCAGCTTAACAATTCCTGGCACTCGGTCGATCTTCTTCACGCTGCAACAAAGCAGAATGGATTTTCAAGCGGGCCAAATGCCGCCGCAAACCATGCTGGGTGGGACACATACGGTTTGAATGTTTCTTGCAAAAAACCCTAAACCCTAAACCCAATAAAGGGACCCTAAACCTTGATGCGGAGCGACCCGGCGAGGTAACCAATCCTGTCCCTCTACATGCAGTCATTGCGACGTTCGTCTCCATACCTCGGCCCTCTTTTTGATAGGTTGCTCCGAGAAATATCGGCTTTGCAAGGCTACAGTTACGAGATTTCTCCGGGCACCCTGACGAAAGCCTCTATCTAAACAAAGCGGCTGAAAGAGAAGCAAGGTGCTTGTCAATAGCCTCGCCTCGCTCGCTCGATGATGCGGGTGACATGAGCACCGTGACCATGGTGCCTCTGCAAGCACTTGCTGTCTTGAGGCTTCGGGAGTTTATGTCTGGCCTGTGATTTCGGGCACCCTAAACCCTAGACCTCCAACCCTAAACCCGAAGACCCTGTCCTCCTGCCCCACGAAGCCCTGAAAGAATCCCCCTAAACCCTAAACCCTAAACACCTAAACCCCTAAACCCCTAAACCCCAAACCCTAAACCCGAAGCTGCCAGGTCTCAGTGCAGTTCCCGGGCATGGAGTCCGCGGCTCCCTGGTCCAAGTCTGGGGGCTTTGGGGCTCAGGCCTTTGGGGCGTTTTAAGGGTATGGGGCTTAGGGCTTAGGGTTCAGGGTTTAGGGTTTCGCGTTTAGGGCTTAGGGTTTGGTTAAAGGGCTGACCCTCGGAGGTTTACAGGCACCTAAGTCAAAAGTCACTTGAGGTCCCTAAAACCCCCAACTCCGTCCCTGTTTACTTGAGATCCTTAGCCGTCTTGGGGCTTGTATGGGCCTTGTGAATATGATGTTGGGGTGCCAAAGTATAGCCCAGAGCGCTAATCCCTGAACATAATCCCTGCCGAAACACCCCCAAAAATATTTGGGGGGGGGGGGGGGGGTAAGGGTGTCGAAGCCCTCATCTGCCCCAGACCTGGGGTTTCGAGCCCAGCAGGCGATGTTTAAAAGAGACAACCTGCGAAACGCTGAGGCCCAGGTGCCGTCCTACCTGGTACGGGAAGAGGCCGACGTGATCGAACTCTGAGACGCCCCTCCATGCCCAGAGAGCCCAAGCAGGGGGTTTAGGGTTTAGGGTTTAGGGTTTAGGTTTAGGGTTTAGGGTTTAGGGCTAAGGAAAACCCTTCAACTAAGGGGTTTAGGGTATAGGTCATTTCTTAGTAAGGAGGGCCCCGATTACAGTTGTAAGGCCTCTTGCTTTTGTTCAAGGACTCTCTGGGACACTTGCACGTGCGGAGGGATCTCTTTCTACGCCATGGTCAGCATACTCTTTCGGCATTGAGAAAAAGGTATCTAAGCATGATAAGTACTATAAGTGCTATGACGATTATAAGTACTATCAGTTTTGAAAAAAGTACTCTACGTATCATAAGCACTCTCGTGCTTTCAAGGTCACAGTCGTAGAAGCAACCTCGCCTCGGGCGTGGGATTGCCATGCTCGTGCCTTTAAAAGCGGGAACCGTGGAGCATTTTCAGATTCCTGTGATGAGCCCCTGCAGCGCAGCTGAACCGAAACCCTGCAAGGGTTTATCGTTTTGAACCCTAAACCCTAAACCTAAAACCCTGAACCCTAAACCTATCGAGCTTTTCACAGAACACATCCACTGCAAGAGGGCTCCAGGAAACGAGGACCCCTTGAACTCTTGGGGCAATTCATTCCATGCACGTCCCCCTTTGCCAATTTGGAGAACCTTGCGGTGAAACCGCCGTACTGTGGGTGCCTCTTTTTTTCCATAACTCGGCCCGCCGAAGGGGCGTCGCTGCCCTCCTCCTAATCCCTGAGTTCAGGCCCAACTCTGAGCTAAGGAGCCGTAATCCCCGAGGCGAGAAGAACAAGACCAGTAACATTCAAAAGGAGATGACTATAAGGATCTCGGCAATTCTGAGCAGGCTCCTATATAGAGACGCTTCAAGAACCTGACGCTTCAACAGCCCCCCCCTCAGTGCAAAGCTGCTCGGCCAAAGAAGCCGCTCGAATTCAGGCAGGGCATTTCCCAAACTAGGGTTTCCCTTGCTTTCCCCCAATCCCTCAAAAAGCCAACAAGGGGCTAAACCCTAAACCCTAAACCCTAAACCCTAAACCCCCTACCTTGCGGAAAGCCCCCCTGCGCATGCTCCTCGCAGAAAATCTGCGGCTGCTCATGGAAGCGAGTCCCGCTTTGCAAGAGCTTCTGGAGGCAAAGATGCCATCTCACAAACGGATTACCTGCAAAAAAAAAGGGTTTAGGGTTTAGGGTTTAGGGTTTAGGAGTTAGGGTTTAGGAGTTAGGAGTTAGGAGTTAGGGTTTAGGGAGTTTGAAGAAAAGAGGTCGGAGCATCTAAAAATCGAAGGGGGGACGTGCGTCCATGGAGCATCGGGCCGCTCGGCCCTCCACGAAGTTTCGTGTGCCGGAATCTTACAAAAGATTTCTGCATTCGTCTCCACATGCTTTTCAGACCACGCGCCTAAAAAGAGTCCAGGTGGAGGGTTTTGCTTATGCCGAGTTCTTCAACCGTCGATTAGTGGTTTAGTGGTTTAGGGTTTAGGGTTTAGGGTTTAGGGTGTGCCTGCTTGGCGGCACGGTTGCAATTGAGTTTTGCATGTTCAGCCCTGTTCTAGCCTCTTCAAACGCGCACTTGTTGTGGCGGCTTAGAATATTGAGACCACAAGCCAAGGTCGGATGTTTGAACAGTCCGACAAATATGAGCTATCAACATCGATCTGCTACCAACTACAGAAGGCACCCGCCAGTCGAAACCCTCTAAGAACCTAGCTATGGAAGATTGAACCCTAAACCCTGAATACAGGGATTGCGGTGCAGTCTCCGAGCTGTTTCCGAGAGTAATGCAGCTCCGGTCGCCTTGGTTAGGACCTGAAGGCAGGAATGCCAGTTCAGGGTATTAGGGCTTAGGGGTTTCATATTCATCGCTTAGCATCTTCTTGATGTGCATTCTGCTTCGTCAGGTCCTATGTGCGACATGGAAGCTTGAACGTATACGGACCAGGTAGGCACCCTAAAAACCTGTGAATTGTCTTGAAAAGCATCCCATGTGATCCGAAAAAAGTCGAAGGCTCCGTGTTATAGTACAGGAACCATAGTTGCAGCTTTCTGATCCTCATGCCGAAACCGAGCCGTGCCCAATTTCACGTCGATTTCCTTCGCATTCCGGAGTCGATTGTACAGCACGACTCAGAAAAAGTTTCACTGAAGACTGAACTGCCCGGAGATTTGGCTTGAGCCTTGGCTGTCTAGAGTCCCTTCTAGGCACTAGACCTGTCTGTAGGTTGAATCACTCTTGCAATGAAGCAATTTCTTGTGATTGTGGTGACGTCTGTCTTCAGTGGTGCTGCTTGGAAGATTCACTCTTCCGAGCCCACCACAGGAGAAAGACTCCCACTTCTTGAAGCGAACAGCAGCGCCAGCCCGGGCACCACAGGAGAAAGCCTCGCACTCATTGAGGTGAACAGCAGCGACAGCCCACGCCGCCCCCTGAAGCGTTCATATCGAATTCCTGACGAAGATTGGAAGGCATACACCCTTGGGGACAAGAAGGCTGCTGAGGCAGCGGCGAAAAGAATGCAGTACAAGGCCGCAGCCTCACAAGGACTCATCAACATTGCGGCCATTGCTGGAACCTTGGCTGTTGACTGCCTCTCAGACTGGGACAAGGCGGATGACTGTGACGTGGACGCAGCTAAGCTGAACTATGTTGACCCATAAGGGGGTTTCCGAAATTTGGGTTACCTTATCGGGGTCCTTGTTATACGGGAATCGTACTATTTGGGGGTCTGTATTCGGGGTCCCCTATTTTCGTAAATCCCCATAATAATGTTTTGCACCGCGCTGTGTTGAGAAGAGATTCCCTCCTTTTCCTTTCACTGCCCATCTTGGTGCACAGCAAGTGATGAAACAGAGTTAGTTGATCTAGCCATCCCATGTCTTCATGCCTTTGACTGTTCGAGTGTTGCTTGCAGACTACAAGTAAAGCTATCGCACTGGCGAGCAATAGGAGCGAACGTGAAAAGGGTGCGGTCGCACCCCAGTTCCTGTTAATACACACTTGAAGGTTCACCCCTAATTATAGGGGTTATCCCAATTATAAGTAGGGTTCTAAGTACAGTTATAATTGGTTAGTAAGTCCCATGAACCCTCAAGCAAGCTTCTGCGCCCGCAAAGAGCACAGCGCACCCAGCCACGAATCTACCACCACGCTGTGGCAGCGCCACACGTCTGGACAGGCATTTAAACCCTAAACCCTAAACCCTAAACCCTAAATCCTAAACCCTAAACCCTAAACCCTAAACCCTAAACCCTAAACCCTAAACCCTAAACCCTAACCAGCAGCTAGAGCCCCATAGTCGCCCTCAGCCGAGATTGTCTGGCCAAGCTTGCTTGGCTCAAGCCTAGGTGCATTCATAACTCTTCCTGTGTTGAGCGGAAGCATGTAGAAGCCATACGTGCACGAAATACAGGTCCGACTTAGACTTCAGCTGCGCTGCTGTAGAAAAAGGGCCGGAGATTCGTGTGGACAAACGGGTTTAGGGATGGATGTTACACTTAGGGTTTGGGGTTTAGGTTTGGGTCATTTTCCCTCGTACGACATGTGAGGCAGCTGGAAGGGAGATGACCGTCTCCGCGGTTGGCACAATCACGGCGGCACTCACAATTGCCGCGGGGCCTTATGCTCCTGTTGTTGGGCACCTGGGACAAGCTTCATCCAAGATATCCTAAGGCCGAAGAGCCACCCTACACCCTAAACTCTAAACCCTATATAAACCCTAAATAAACCCTATATAAACCCTAAACCCTATAAAAACCCTAAACCCTGATAAACACCCCAAACATGAATGAGCACATTGTGCGCGGAGCTGAGGCCTCTGCTCTCATTCGGAACCACGTTCATCTTAGATCGATTTTGGCCTCCTGAGGCTCCAGCACGTCTAGTTTTGCTGATTCTTTTGGGGTTTAGGGTTTAGTTTTGCTGATTCTTTTAGGGTTTAGGGTTTAGGGTTTAGGCTAAGGGTTTAGGGTTCATGGCCGCCTTAGCCCCGTGAAAGGAGAAGGTCGACCCCTTGCAGGAGTTGAAGGAGGAGCTGTTGGAGACCATGGATATCAAAATCGACGCCGCCTTGTTCCTGGGAACTAGCGTTTAGGGCTTAGGGCTTAGGGTTTAGGGTTTAGGGTTTACAGTCAATGTCGGTGACCACAAATAGCAACGCATCGTAGCGTGTCCCCTGACTCGGCACTCTGAAACTACCCTAAACCCTGAGCCTATATCCTCCGACTCTTCGCTTTCCTGGCTTCCACAGAAAACGTACATACGAGATAACAGCGCTAGACCAGCTAGAGTTTGTTGGGCTTCGAAGGTCTTGCACGGTGTCGCGCGCTCTAGAATGCATCGCTTACGCAAGGCTCCGACAGAGCTTCGCAGAGGTGGAAGTCGAGATTGCACACTACGAACGTGAGCTGAGTACTGTGCTCAGTCGCCCCAAGGTGTGCGTGTGTGCGTGTCTGTCTGTCTGTCTGTCTGTCTGTCTGTCTGTCTGTCTGTCTGTCTGTCTGTCTGTCTGTCTGTCTGTGTGTGTGTGTGTGTGTGCTTCTGTGTGTGTGTGTGTCATTATTTGCATGTGGGTGATGATTGCCTTGAGCCAAGCTGCGCAAAGAAGGCCCTTGAGCCACAAACCTCCCAGAGAGGGGGGCCCAGCAGATAGAGCTAGCATTGCATGGTGAAGTATGTTTTCAGGTTTTGTGTGCTGCAATCCTCATCAATGCAGTCAGAAACAGAACAGGAGCACCATGAGAGAACAACAAATGAGACTCGACAATTGAGACAGTGTAGCGGCTCAGGGGGAGCATCGCAGATGATGAAACAAGGAGTGTCAGACGAAACCGGCACGAAACCAGAGACCTGACAATCCTCCCCACGATCCCCCCTTTTACCTGCTCCACGCCCAGCCAATTACAAATTGCTAGATCCGCTTGAACCGGCCCCTAGCACACCCTAAACCCCAACAGGCTGGGCAGCGAAGATGTTCCCGGCAATGAAGCCAGATGTACGGATGCCCTACGGCCTATCTCTGGAGAGCCAATCTGCAAGGTTGAAGGAGCCCGGCGCCACTTTCAGCTCCAGGGCTTGCGCTGCTTGCGCCTGCTTTGCCTTTGAAACACATCTCGCGTTTTCTGCTGTCTTGTGATTTCTCACAGGACTTGCTGTTTATGGAGTGCTTGACCCAGCATTTCGGGACTGACAAGTGCAAGGACCTGTTTTCTGACCAGCACGGGAAGATTCAGTACATGTCTAGGATAGACTCTGCCATCCATGCAAGTACATGCCTGGCACCCATACATTCGTCCTGTCTCAGCCTGATTCCAGAGGGCTGATGTGAAGGAGCGCATAGCTCACGGTGGGCTCGTCGTCCTCATTCCGCTGATGGAAGCACACATTGCCTTACTTCAAGACCTGTCACACTTTGCAGCAACGAATGAGCAAAGTCACAAAGAGCGGCTGCTGAATGCTTTCAATGCTGTTGGCTGTCCAAATCGAAACGTCGATCAAGTGAAAATCGACGCATGGAAACAAATGGACGACGACAACTTGAAGGCCAACATGCTCAGCATCTGCCAATCAAGTGGTCAGTCAAGTGGTCAGCGTGCACTTTGCTGTGGCGACGTTGATGGCTGTCCGCGGAGCTGCATGGAGTTGAGGCATGCTCCCGCGACCATGAAAGACATTCTCATGGACAAACAACGCCAGGCCCTTCTTACGCAGCGCATCCGCACTTCATTTCGGGGTTGTGTAACAAGCGCAGCAAGGTGCTCAATCTCATGTCGCGCAGCAGGCACAAGCAATCAAGTGCCAAGATCCCGGCTATGTACCCGACACAGTTTCTAAAATTGCGCAATGAGATCGTTACCAAACGTGCCCAAATGTTGCCGACTACATTCAATCCAAACCTGGCTTGACCACTTGTGGCGTCTCAGTGTGTGCAACGAGAAATGTACCATCAGTGACTAGTGACTTCGGTCCATGAACTTCCAGTACGTGCCACGAGAAAACTTCCTCGCTTGTGGCACAAATGTGCTCATGTGTGGAAGATCTCGCGGGCTTGAGCCGTAGGTACACGGAGCTTTGGGAGAACGGCAAAGGAGTCTATTTCGCGGAGCAGTTGGGAAAGATCAAGTGCAACACCCGCAGACGCCGCCGCCGCCGGGAACCAGAGCACAGGCATGTAAGCACTGCTCACCACTAAGCCTACCACTATTTGCTTAAGAGCCCCCAAAAAACACAAGATTGTAATATCTATACTACCTGTATAAGGATTCATATGTTTTTTGCGTTCTTTTGGGGCTTTTAAGCAAAAAGTAAAAGGTAGGGAATGATGGATCCGTACATTGTACCCCCCTTTATGGGAATCAAGGAGGGGTATGGCGTTGAGAGCTGAGGGCTGAGTATGTAGAACGTATGTTCAGGGCCAACTAGAATCTTGGCCCTGAGACCCTAGATGTACTTGAACATCAACTTTGAACAACTAAACCTAAGCTGTTGCAATGCTGCACAGGCGGCGGGCAACTGAATGCACAGATGCAGGCGGCCAGCGAATCAACTTTCAGAAGAACCTTAATCGCCGCCGTCGGGATGGTTCTTGGCAGGGCTGGCATCCCTTATACACAAAGCAAGCCGACGAGTGACTTGGGCCGTGCTTGTGGGGGGGTTGCTTCTTCTTTCTTTGTGTGCCCCCAATGATGAAGCTGCCGGTGATGGTTGCTCGAGATAAGGTATGACGCCTTGCGACGGAACATTGAGAGCGGCGAGAGCTTTTTGCGAGCCAGACAGCACATCACGCCGGATGTGACGAAGCTAGTCTTTGTGAAATCTGTGGTCCAGCCGACCTCCACCAACGCATACACATACTTTCAGTTCGAAGGCGATTTTGGGGGCACTCCGCTCAGTAGCATCCCAGGTGGGGGTTTAGTCTTTCGCGTGACAGCGCTGGGGCGTCAGCACAAAGTGAAAGTATGGCGGACTGCGAGATGGTGCGGGGGTTCGCCTTGTGGACGCTGGGAGCCCTTGGAGACGACGCCGGAGTGGGGGATTGTTCAAAACGGCCATTGTTTCGTTTATTGTTTTGAAACAAGTTTCATGTGGACTTTGCTGATCTCCTGCCAGGTTCTTGTGGCGGGAGAAGGACTTCATTGAGCTTCCCTTGTGGAAGTTTCCCTTCCATGCTCACATCCCGGGCAGCCTCAGGGTCTCCGCGCTCCTAAAGGCCGGCGCAACGGGGCCGGTGACTCACACCGCTACGTTGGATGGTGCCGCTGGACAGGTGCGGCTTCACACACTTGGGTTGAAGAGGTTTCGGGTTTAGGGGTTAAGGGGACTGGGATGGTCTGGGGAAAAGGATGTCCCAAACATTCCGTACCTGAACATTTTAGGGGCCCTATAAGGCTTCATCTGGCAGATGTTGGTCTTGTTCCGGGACAGAGCTGGATTCTCGTTGAGCCATTGCCAGGCTGAGGGAAGAAAACAACGGAGGTATGCAAAGCGAGCTTCGGGTGGGCTGTCGACGGGTGCGGGTGGCAACGAATGGGATGGTCATGACAATGGAAGAGGCAAGCGAGATCGGGTGGACGGCCGGACGTTCGGCGGGCTGGGGTTTGTTTGGTGTTTTTTATTTAGTCGCAATGCTTGGATCGCTCACGCAGCTTCCATGTGTTTGAAACCATAGTCCCATTGGGATTGTGGTGGGTCACTGTATCGTTGGCACTGCATGGTACGCGGGAAGTGGTGTGCAAGTGCAAGCAAGTGCACGGAGGCTTCTGCTTGCGATGTTGTGGCAAGGCGTCAACGGGGCAAATCAGCGTGACGAATGGCGACGAGTATCCTTGGTCGTTCATCCTGGATAGAGTGAAGCGTGGCGACAACTCCGTCCAGGCTCCCGGGGCGACGGTTGTTGCGGTGGAAATGGAGTTGGCCAGCAACTCAGAGCATGAAAATCTGCCTCTTGTCGCGGAATTCCCTAAGCCAAGATCGAGATTTTTGCTTCAAAGCTGTGCAAAAGCTTGTGTTTTCATCCATAGCCTTAGTTTTGAACTTTGCATTTCTATGTTTGGCGCTGAAGCCCCAAACTGTACTGGACCGAGGATTTACGAGACACTTCAAGCGAAAGGTGTGCAGCCGGATGCGAAGTATTCGTACACTCAAGGAAACGACTGCGGCAGCAAGGCCTGGTTGTCAAGGGATCATGGAGAGCTAGAGAGGGAAAGACTGGCAACTGAAATGGAATGGAGGATTGTACGAGCCTCTTGCCAAAAGATATGAACGAAGTAGAAGGTACCAACAACGCTGTTACTGCTACAAGTGTTGACGTTCATGACTGGCACCTAAACCTCACTGAATGATTTTACTGGAGCAAGCTGAGCTTGCGCAGAGCTGCCACGCTTGTCTACAGCGCAAGAATCCCGGCTAAACCTGGTTGGGACTTCTTGTTGTATTTGCGAGTGTACAAGGGTACCCCAATATTGACATACTCATATTGTTACGATTGATAGGAATGAGTTGGGCAAGCCGGGGTTTTGGTTATGTTTATTGTTTGGAGCATTTTCGGATACCGCGTGCCCAGAGGGTTTAGGGTTTAGGGTTCAGGGTTCAAGGCTTGGTGAAACTTAGCTCTCAAGGCTTTTTCGTGAGCCAGGCCACTTACATCCATTGCGTGGGGAAGAACCCCGCCAACATCCACGTGGCTTGGAGTCTTTGGAATGACGTTGGGGGGCTTAAGTTTCCAGTCTACAAAACCCTGACAGCCTCGTTAACGTGGTGGCGGCGAAGCTGCGTGTCAAAGCCACGGAAGTCTAAAGCAAAAGTTTTCAGCGGCGTTAAGATCCTAAACCGTACACCCCAAGCCTTAAGCCTTAGACTTGAAGCCCTAGCCCCGAATACCTTAATCCCATTCGCGCAAAGAGCCATTCGTTTTTTTCATGGCCCCTCCGTGGGCCATATTTTCATGGGGTGGCTTGATTTTTCACGCTGGTTAAGGGAATCCGATGCCAGGCCTCAGTGAAAATCGACTACTTGCCTCCCATGAGCTGGACGTTGCGTTTCAAGATGCGGTTGCACAAGAAGGCTCCACACTCGGCTGTGTCAAATCGTGGGTTCAGGATGAAAACCCAAGGCTTGCAAAAGTCGTAAGCAGTCGCATGCGTTGTGTAGGTTCACTCACCAGTAAGTGCCTCCACACTCACGCGCGGTCAATGTCTCGAAGAAAGCAATTCTCCCACACAGAGGAAGCAACAGCTGCTGGGATTAATTTCGCGGGCGCCAACGGCGAAAGCAGCTGGATTATCCTTGATGCAAAGCTCGACAATGAACCCTGGATGGTCACAGAAGGCTCAGGAGTTTTTGAGAGCGGCCCAATCGCATTTTGCAATTGCAAGATGGGATAAGATCCTCCTTCGCTTACGTCCATGCCGGCTGTGCAATTTTTGCGACAGTGCCCTAGAAGCTATTTTTCGTACAGCTAAACCCTAAACCCTACATACAACCCAAAGCAGTCGCAGCTGAAGGTGATGGAGACAAGGTTGCCATCGGTCGGCCGCCTTGGGGCAAAGGGAAGTGGCACGATTACGACGCTGTGCTTGTTGGGAAGGGATTGAGGGCTAAGGCCTGAGAGCGGTACACAAAAATGAAGATATTTGTGCACAGTTTCGGATTCAGAAACTGGACCAAAGGGGCAATCAGTCTTGTTAAGTTTAGGCAAGGTCACACATGAATGTTGAGAAAGTATCTACATCATACAATGTCATCGAATCCCTTTAAAAGGGGTGAAAACCTGAAGCTAGGAGATCTCCATGTGGCGTCAAATGCTTGTGGTCAGCTGTGATGGCAAGCTCTTCTACACTTACCCCGCTGATCATTATTTCCCCGTCACGTCCGTGCTGCTGCGTGGTTGGAGAAACACGATGGATGTCTATGGCCTGACGCTTGAAAGGCTACAAGGGTAGTAAAACAAGAACCCGCAAAACACAAATTTTCACCACTCGGGATCCGGCAAAACACCTTCAAGCCACAGTCTCGATTGGGACTTTAGCGGCTTTGGGAGGCTTCAGGGATTTATTGGGGAGGCTTAACCCTAAACCCAAAACCTGAAGTCCATCCCTCAAAGCCCTGGCACGCCCTGCCTGTTTCTGCAGGCTGCCTACGTCCACAAAAGTTCTGCATACTGACCACCAGGCATGGAAGTCCCGCCATCCAGGTTTCAGGCTTGAGGGTTTTGGGTTTATAGGGTCTGCGCTTCAGTTAGGGCTTCGGCTTTGGACGGTCCTTGAGGAGCCGAAGTTCAACGGTGTGTACTTCGCATTCAACCGCGCCGACCTCAACTTGGAAGCCCTGACTGATAAGGGCTACGTACTGCGCCGTGGTTGCACAGCATGAACATGTCGGGTATAAGCTTGACCCAACACTGTGCATACCACCACCAAGGAATGTGGAGCAGTGCCGCAGCAATGGGACGCCTGTGAGGAAGGGCAAAGTGAGAGTCTGGCTTGGGAGCATACATGCTGGCAAAGGCGAGGGCGCTACAAAGACTAACATCCCCCACCCTAAACCCTAAACCTATTGGCCGCACGGGGAACGAGACTTGGAAGTGGCTTGAGAATACTTTCTCTGAGGCGGGGATGCTTACGGCCGTGTGGAACCTCGAGACGACGACCTGAAGTTCGAGAAGAACGATGAAATCACCACGGGTTCCTGTCAGCAGTTATATGGCCACCAAGGACTACTTCGTTGATCCCATATGTGCGCTGTAGAGCCCTGTAAAGATGCTGACGCGGCTTATCTGGCCTGGATGCAGCGCGAACAAAACTCATTGTACCGTCATAGATCAGTTTCTGTCATGAAC